GTGGGGGGGGGGTGTTCTGTGAAATGTTGATTAATTAATATTATAATGAAGAAATGTTGAGCATTTACAGACTGTGAGGAACCAGGTGTGAGGAAAAAACTCTGCAGCTCTGACTCTTGCCTTTTATGATGTTGATGTTTAATAAGTCCAACAATTTATTTTTAGGGATTTAAGTTTAAAAAAAATTTTTTGACCCTTACCATGGTTGTATCCACTGGGCTGCATCCTTTGAGCCAGTCTTTGTGCCGATAGAGTTTTAGATATTTTACAGTTATTGAACACCACTTGTTTTGGGGAGGGAAAGAAAAAAAAGCACAGAAAGTTTAAATTAAATTTTAACATACTCTTTGACTTAAGAAACTCGCAGCTGGGTGGTCTCTGAAGCTGTCAGCACTACGCTGGATCAGGAGCAAGTAACATCACTACCTCGCTTAGATTTTATTTAYTTGTTTTTACCTCACTCAGAGGTTAAGAGGCGTGACAGACAGGGGCTGTCCCCCTCCTGCTCCGTTTRTCAGAATGAGCTGAGGTGGCCAGAGCACGTGTCAAATAACGTTATTGGGCGTCTTCTGAAAGAGTGAATAATATACCATCATAATTTTTATATACAGTACATCCCCCTATTTCAATACTACGGTATAAGAAAATACCTCCACACCCCCCAAGCCTTCTAGCTACAAAGCTAATCTGCATAKATCATTCTGTGGAGACTAATCAGTGTTAAATCACACTCACATACTGATGGGACACACGTCAGAGGCAGCGGGGGTTCAGTGTCTTGCCCAGGGACACTTCGACATGTCACCGATTAGCAAGGGAATCGAACACTCTCTTTCGAGGACAACTCCCCTAACCRCTCAGCCACAGCCACCCTTATGGGAGCAAGTATGTCTTGCATTTTGGAACTGAAGCCGCTGCAGCTAGTTTTTCTGAGTGTTGTTTCAGCTGCTCTCTGATGTCGCAGTTGTTTCGCGCAGGACGCTCTGCTGCGCTCGAACCCTCAGTCACAGGATTATGAGACTGCAGGACGAAACAAGTTTCATCAGTGGCGAGGAGGATATTTGTTGGCCCCAGCCGCACGCAACATGTGAAGGGGCTGTTTGCCAAAAATGGTGTCAAGCAAGGTCAAAAATGTCAAGAAAAAAAAAGTGGCGGTAAAGGTGAAGAAATAAGGTTTTGCAACRAGTAAGTCAACACTGATAAATCA